CTTGATTCTGTAGTAATTCCTTCACTTCTGCAGTGGATGTTAGATCAGAACAGATTTTTCTTTCTTAAGTGGAAGAATCTCAGAGATGTCAAGCTTATTTTTTTCTTTGCTCACTCTTTCTATTTCAGTGATAACTAAATGTGCCTTGTCTGTTTCCTTTCTTCTTTGTGCAAAGACATTCTGAGTATTTTATGCGGTAGCTTTGGTGGAATCATTACAATTTAAGAAGAGGCATGTCATCCTAAAATCCTAATAAATTATTTGAGATTCAATTTTCAAAAGGCGTAAAATTCCATCCTCATGATCTGCTATGAAATCAAACACAGAACCTAACCAGTGTAGAATGCACAGTGAAAAAAGAACGTCCCCAAATTATGTGACTCCTGCAGTTGAATGTACCATATCCTCATTTGTGAACAATTTACCTGAAAATTATCTACAACTCTCAAAAATTTACTTCTGTACAGTCTTTAACTACATCTGTAAATACACAATCTTTACAATTTTTAGTGAATTAATGCATTATACCTGTATTATTTTTCCTTGCTATTTTTTTTTTTTTTCTTTTTGGCTGGTGTGATGGCTCAACCAATTTAGGCACTTGTTGCCAAGCCTGATGATTTGAGTTACATCTTGCACCAAGATTCACATATGGAAGGAAAAAACTGATTTCTTTTTTTATTTTTTTTTTATTAATTACACTTTATTTACTTTGTATCCCCCCGTAGTTCCCTCCCTCCTCCCCTCGCAATATCTCCCTTACTCCTCCTTCTCCATTCATGCCCCTCCCCAAGTCCACTGGTAGGGGAGGTCTTGAAATAACTGATTTCTACAAATTGTCTTCTGAGCTATGCACACTCAAATACATTAAATAAAAATTTATTATTTGATCATTTTACACATGCTTATAATTTAATTATATTCAATCCTATTACACTCTCTTATTTTTTCCAATTCTATCTGATTAAAGAAAGAGACACAAAAAATAGTAGGATTTGTGGAATTATTTCTTTCACTTGATGCTATACCATTTTGGAATTCTACAAACATACTTTATGGAATCTACTTTGCTTATTTAGTAATTACTGAGCGTACACATTCAAATAGACTCTCAAGATCATGATAGCAGTTAGTAATTTCCTATTTTTGTTGTAGAAAATTTATTTTTTATTTATTTATTTTATACAGTTTACATCCTAATTGGAGCTCCCTCCCTCTTCTTCTCCTGGTCCCACTCTCACTCTCTCTTTTCTCTATCCTCCCTTTCTTATTCCTCAAAGAAGGGGAGTCCCCAACTAACCACCAACCCATCTCGGCACATCAAGTCACATCAGGACTGAGCACATCCTCTTCTGCTGGGGAAAGGGATTGAAAAAAAAATGCAGAAGATACCATGCCAGAGACAGCCACTGCTTCCCATACTAGGGGACCCACATGAGGACTTTTCTGAAAGTGGTATTTTATGACCTAACTCTGTAACTCCCACAACATCAATTTAGGCTCCTGAGGTCATGTGACCAGAAGTAACTCTGCCTTGCCATTTTTTTAAATTTTTTAATTAATTACACTTTATTCATTTTGTATCCCCCCATAAGCCCCTCCCTCCTCCCCTCCCGATACCACCCTTCCTCCCCTTTCTGCATGCATGCCACTCCCCAAGTCCACTGATAGGGGAGGTTCTCCTCTTCTTTCTGACCTTAGTCTATCAGTTCTCATCAAAAGTGGCTGCATTGTCCTCTACTGTGGCCTGGTAAGACTGCTCCCCCCTCAGAAAGAGGTGATCAAAGAGCAGGCCAATCAGATTATGTCAGAGGCAGTCCCTCTTCCCATTACTATGTAACCCACTTGGACACTGAACTGACATGGGCTACATCTGTGCAGGGGTTCCAGGTCATCTCCACGAATAGTCCTTGGTTGGAGTATGAGTCTCTGGGAAGTTCCCTGTGTTCAAATTATCTTGTTCTGTTGCTCTCCTTGTGGAGTTCCCGTCCCCTCCAGCTCTTACTATTTCCCACTTCTTACATAAAATTCCATTCACTCTGCCCATCAGTTGGCCATCAGGCTCAGCATCTGCTTGAGTGAGTTGTCCCAGAAGCAAAAAGACACGCATGGTATATACTCACTCATATAAACATACAATATAGAATAAACCCACTAAAATCTGCCTTGCCATTTTGACTTTTATTTGTTTGTTTGTTTGTTTGTTTATCTATTTATTTGAAGTTAGATGTCTTGAGTCTCCTAATAGTAACAGGATCTGTTGTCCTACAAAAAGACTGTTTACACTGGTGGAATATGTAGACTATGATCATAGAATTCTTTGCCTATAAGATTCTAAAAGACATGTATTCAAACATGGTTTCAAATCACATCTGCTTACCCGCAGGAAAGTACTTGACATGCATTAGTTGTTTGATCCTCATGAAAATGCTAGGTAATGTTACAACATATATAGCAAGCTAGCAGTAGGTAATGCTACCACCTTTATATGACAGTTAAGGTTTCAGAGGGCCAAGCATGGTACGACTATCACATAGACACCAGATGGTAAAGAGCATTGCAGCAGAGTCTGGGTCCACTTTAATACTAGACACAGCTTTTCTCTTGCACAAACGATGGATCTGTGGATGCTTTGCTACCACCATTAATATAAGAATGAGTTCTGATGAGCTGTGCAACAAGTGGAAAATGAAGCAGAGAGCTGCAGTTTAGAAACAAACTAAAGAAAGTTATCAGCACATGGTGCAGTTTCTAGTACACCGAAAAGTCAAACGTATATATCAAATATGCACTGTGAAAAAGGTCTACTAAAGAAAATAGAGTCCCAAGGCATGTAGTCACGTATATAACATCTTTTTGTTTACTTTTTTAAATTAAATTTTTATTTTTTTACATTAATTACATTTTTATTTATTTTTATTTTTCTTATTAGTTACATTTTATTGACTCTGTATCCCAGCTGTATCCTGCTCCCTCATTCCCTCCCAAACCCTCCTCACTCCCTCATCTCCTCCCTGACCCTTTCCAAGTCAGCTGATTGGGGAGGACCTCCTCCCCTTTCATCTGACCCTGGTTTATCAGGTATCTTCAGGACTGGCTGCAAAGTCCTCCTCTGTGGCCTAGCAGGACTGCTCTATCCTTGTGGGGTGGGGAGGTCAAAGAGCCTGCCATTAAGTTCCTGTCAGAAATACTCCCTGTTCCCCTTACTAGGGAAAACCAATTGGTTACTGACCTACCATGGGCTACATCCAAGCAGAGGTTCGCGGTTATATCCATACATGGTCTTTGGTGGAGTGTCAGTCTCAGAAAAGTGCCCATATATGTTTGGTCCTTGTGGAGTTCCTTTCCTTTCCACATCATATTAACTCCCTCTTTTTTCATATGATTCCCTGCACTCTGCCAAAGGTTTGGTTATGAGTCTTAGTATCTGCTTTGATACACTGCTAGGGAGAGTCTTTCAGATGCCCTCTGCGGTAGGCTTCTGTCCTGTTACTTGTTTTCCCCTATGTCCAATGCACATCCCATTTGTCTTTCTAAGTGAGGGTGGATCATCTTACTCCATGTCCTCTTTCTTATTTATCTTCTTTAGGTGTATAGATTTCATTATGTTTATCATATCTTATAGGTCTATATAAGTGAGTATATACCATGTGTGTCTTTCTCCTTCTGGGTTACTTAACTCAGAATGATTTTTTCTAGATCCCAATATTTGCCTGCAAATTTCATTATTTCCTCATTTTTGATTGCTGAGTAGTATTCCATTGTGTAAAAATACCACAATTTCTGTGTCCATTCCTCCGATGATGGACATCTGGGTTGTTTCCAGGTTCTGGCTATTACAAATAAAGCTGCTACAAACATGGTTAATCAAATGTCCTTGTTGTATACTTGAGCAAATTTGAGGTATATGCCTAGGTGTGGTATAGCTGGATCTTGAGGAAGCACTGTTCCTAACTGTCTGAGACAGCGCCAGATTGACTTCCAAAGTGGTTGTACCAGTTTATATTCCCACCAGCAATGGAGGAGGGTTCCCCTTTCTCCACAACCTCTTCAGCATATGTTGTCACTTGAGTTTTTTATTTTAGCCATTTTGATGGGTGTAAAGTGAAATCTCAGGGTCGTATATATCAAATATGCACTGTGAAAAGGTCTACTAAAGAAAATAGAGTCCCAATGCATGTAGTCACGTATAACACATCTTTTTATAAGAGACAATCTTTTATTTTTATTCTTTCTTTTTTCTTGTTTATTTGTTTATCTATCTATTTTTTATTTCCCTTGACTGGCCCTGATATGGCCTTAGCTGGATCTTCCTCTCTTGGAAGCCAAGAATGATCTTGAGTTCAGAGTCCTTTTGCTTCCACCTCATATATGCTGTCAAAGCAGACATGCACCATCATGACTTTATCCTTCACATTTTTCTTTAATTCAAGGGCCACCATGACTTTATCTTTTACATGTTTTATTCAAGAGAAGGTATACTATGGTGAGTCTGTACTATTGAGCCAGAAATGTCAAGGTTCCAATTCAACTTCATTACTTGCTTGATGACTTGTGACTTTATTTGTGAGCCACAATTAAGTCTTCACCTTCCATAAAATAAAAAAGGTTTGATGAATTTTAAATGATGCAATTAATAACATTTTGTAAATATTAAATAAAGTAAGAATGTGTGAAACTTAATATAGTATACTGTATGTAATACAATAATTCCCACCATTGGTACTTACCCTCTGTTATCATGAGTAGCCATGAACTTAATGGAAAAGATTATAAATACAAATGTCAACAGTATGTTTAGAAGAAAAAAAAGATGTTATTAGAGTTTAATTGAAGCATATAAACCTTTGTTTGGGGAGGCAACTGACAGAATTATTGATGGAATGCCATTTGGTCATCAGGGTTCTGTCTTGATTTATAAACTAGAGTCAAAATGATGAAATGTTTGCTTTGCTCCCTTGATACATCTCTCCTTAGATGAGCTCATTTATCTTTGCCAGGTGATGAGCCCGCTGTCCCTCACCTGCTTGCCATGGCATCACAGCTGAGGGAGAGTGCTGAACTCTTCCAGTCAGATGAGATGAGACCTGCCAATGACCCAAAGGAGAGAGCACCCAGCCGTGTCCGAATGCTGAATGACATCCTACAAGACCTGGAGAAGGGCTTCCTGACGCAGCGGGTGCCACCAGGTTTTTATAGGTAGGAAATATACCTTCACAGTTACGTCTTTCCCTCACTTCCGGAATATGTTAAAGACTCTAACACTATATAAAAGAAGCTCTATCTTAGGATATTTAAGAAGAGTGATAAAGTCAGGACCAGAGTGTGTGCAAGTAGAATGAGCAAACATGATTGACTGGGAAAGAGGGAGAGGATAGGAGAAGCATTAAAGAGAAAAATATAGGTAATAGGTTTGACCCAAACATATGTGTATATGTAAGTAATATATTTTTAAGAAACAAAAATAAAATAATCATTATTATTCAAAGCAAAGCTCAAATGAATAACTATGGAATAAATGACATGACAACATGCATTATATTGATTCCAATATGATATCATCACTGGAAAATCTAGTTTCCTCAAAGCTTATATGAGGATAAATATGCTTTCTTGAGTGCCAAGAGATGGGCCAGGCTGACATTTTTTAAAATAAGAACATGTCTAGAATGTTGATATTAGTTCTATATGCAATAATTTATGGCAGTATTAATTACATCTAATATTCTGATATAGTGAAATTTCAGTGGCTCTTGAAACAACTAAGAGAGGAGGGCAGTTTGGTTGGAGAGAATATGAGCATGATGGTTTTGTAGAGACAACAGTATGACCAGGGCTCAGTTCTTAAAACAAGTAGAATATGGTCTTGTTTAGAATATAAAGGGAAGATAGAAGTTAAACAATTTTGAATATTTTAAATATTTTAAATAATTGATTCGTTCTTCTACTGCAGAGAAAATATACATTTCTGTGTAATCTTATTTATATAATGTATATGAGGATGACAATTTAATATGTACATTCATATGTACATATATCTTATGTATGCATGTCCATATATTTTCTGAATATGTATATGATATTTGTAAAGTGCAAAATTTATGACCCCTTATGCAAAAGTTCTAGGCTGAACTGACCTACTGCCTTACTTCTCCCCAGCTTCCTTGTATCTACTGTATCATTTCATGACTAGACTTGCTGGGGCTGGAGCCATGGCTCACTGGTTAAGGGCACCAGCTGCTCTTTCAGCAGTCCTGAGTTCAATTCCCAGCAACCATGTAGTGGTAGTTCACAATTATCTGTAATGGGATCTGATTCTTCTGGAGTACATGACTAGACTTACCAATATACTATGTAAAATCAGTATTTAAAGCAAGGAATCAATAATTAATACAAAGGTATGAAAAATTTAGTTACATTTGAGAAAGAGTTTCTTAAATTGCTGGTCCTCAAAGACGACCTGTGACAGCCTTTACTCCAGCTGATCCATCTCTGCACATATTACAAAAAGGATTGTGAGCACAAGCCTTGACTATTAAGTGAGCATGAGATCTGAGCAATATTTGGCAGCAAACTTAGTGACCTCATCAACCCACATCTTAATTTCTGAATCTATTAAAAGAGATAACAGATGGAAACTTTTCATAAAGCATTTTTCCGCTTTTGGTAATTGATACTTTAGCTTTATGAATTTTAAACTGAAATTAACATGCAGATTAAGTTTTTATGTTATTTCTTTTAACATTTTAAGTCTAGATCATAAGATGTAGAAAATATTGTATACTGTTTATATAATTTCTCACGATACTTGAAGGCAGAATATGTGTTCCATGTATTTTCTAAGCCCATGAAATTTAGCAGGCACTTCAAGTAAAAAGCATTTTTCTTGATAGTAGTTTAGTGCAGGATTAGAAAGAAGATAAAACAAGGTGATTAGATAAAATGTAAAGACAGAATGTATAAATAACTTCTTAAAGATAATCCAACCACATTACTTACATATTTATCAAAAATATCTTTATCAGAGAAGGTAAATCATGTTTGGGAACCCATTTAGTAAGACCTCTTTCTTCTGTCCTCTCTGAGTCCTTCTATCCAACACTCTTCCATAAGACTCCCTGTGCTCAGCCCAAAGTTTGGCTGTGAGTCTCAGGATCTGCTTTGATCCACGGCTGGGTGGAGTTTTTCAGAGGACATCTATGGGACACAGAGAGTACAAGAGTTCCACAAGAAGACCAACAGTGCCAACAAATCTGGGCCCAGTGAGCCCTGCAGAGACTCACACAACAAACAAGGACCATCCATGAGAGGACCCAGGCCCCTTGCTCTGATGTAGCTGATGGGCAGCTCAGTCTCTATGTAGGTCACCTAGTACAGGGAGCAGGGGCCTTCTCTGATGAACTCTGTTGCCTGCTGTTCGATCACTTCCCCCAGGCAAGGTGGCCTTGCTAGGCCACAGAGTAAGAGGATGCAGGAAGTCCTGATGAGACTTGATATTCTGGGGTCAGTTGGTAAGGGAAGAGAGCTCCCCTTCTCTGATGACTAGGGGATGAGGACGGGGTGGGGGGAAGGGAAGGCGAGACCAGAAGAAGAAGAGGAAGGAAGGGGTCTATGATCAGGATGTAAACTGAATAAATTAACAAAAGAAAAGGCCTGTTTCTACAAAAAGAATGCATTTTCTTGTTGACATTGCCATATGTCAACATTGCCATATGTATATATACCATGTGTAGCTGGCATGCTTATCTAATACGCTTTTTCTTATCCTTTCAATAGTTTTTATGGATGCAATTTACTTCATCCTGTAGTTGTAGAAGTAAAGCAAACATTTATCTGTTCCTGTGACCAATAACAGTTATTTTTCTAGTCTCATAATTATTCCTGCATACCCACTATCCAAGTAATATAAGTCTGAATGTTATTATAATATATTAGTTCATATAACAGACTTTAGGACTGAAAGGCTAGGGTTCAACGTTTTAGCATTTACTAAGCTTTCGCTATAGTTGTTAATGACCTACATGCTTAGCATGCCTTTTGTTAGGCTAGATGCTTGGCACATTGTAAGTCTAAGTTACAGCTGTGTAAGACACGGTCCTACAAAGTGTCTGCACCATCTTGCATGTCCAGCAGTGAATAGTATGATACCTCTGTTATTCTCATCCTCACCTGTGTCCGCTCTTGGTGCCCCTGGGATAATCTCACTGAAAGGTTCATGCTGGTGTCTAGTCTTTGAATTTGCAATTCCCTGATGATATGTAGCCTTGACCATCTTATGCTATGCTGATTTCTCACCTGTGTTTTCTAACTCTTTTGCTTCAACTCTTTTGCCAATTTTTCATGTCATAGACAGTGCCTATACCCCTTACTAGGTAACCCAATGGACGCTGAGCTACCATGGGCTACATCTGTGAAGGGGTTCGAAGTTATCTCCATGCATGGTCCTTGGTTGGAGAATCAGTCTCAGAAAAGACCTATGGGCTCAGATATATTTGGTCCTTGTGGAGCTTCTGTCCTCTCCAGATTCCAGATTCCAGATTCTTACTAATTCCCCCTTCTTTCATATGATTCCCTGCACTCTGCCCAAGGTTTGGTTATGAGTCTCAGCAACTGCTTTGATACACTGCTGGGTAGAGACTTTCAGAGGCCCTCTATGGTGGGCTCCTGTCCTGTTTCATGTTTTTTCCTACTTCCAATGTCTTTCCCATTTATCTTTCTAAGTGAGGATTGATCATCTTACCCTGGGTCCTCCTTCTTGTTTAGCTTCTTTAGGTGTACAGATTTTAATATGTTTATGCTGTCTTATAGGTCTAGTACCCACTTATAAGTGAGTATATACAATGTGTGTCTTTCTGCTTCTGGGATACCTCACTCAGGATGATCTTTTCTAGATCCCACCATTTGTCTGCAAATTTCATGATTTCCTTGTTTTTAATTTCTGTAAAAGTACCACAATTTCTGTATCCATTTCTCAATTGAGGAACATCTGGGTTGTTTGCAGATTCTGTATATTACAAATAAAGCTGTTACAAACATGGTTGAGCAAATGTCCTTGTTGTATACCTGAGCATATTTTGGATACATGCATAGGAATGGTATAGCTGATCTTGAGGTAGCATTATTCCTAATTTTCTGAGAAAGCACCAAATTGATTTCAAAAGTGGTTGAACATTTTTACATTCCCACCAGCAATGCAGGAAGGTTCCCCTTTCTCCACATCCTTTCCAGCATGTGTTGTCACTTGAATTTTTGATCTTAGCCATTCTGATGGGTGTTAAGTGAAATCTCAGGGACATTTTGGTATGTCTTTTCTGATGACTGGGGACACTGAGCATTTTTTTAAGTGTTTCTCTGCCATTCGATATTCCTCTATTGAGAATTCTCTGTTTAGCTCTGTACCCCAATTTTTAGTTGGATTCCTTGATTTGTTGCTGTTAAAATTCTTGCATTCTTTATATATTCTGAATGTTAGCCCTCTGTCAGATGTAAGGTTGGTGAAGATCCTTTACAGGTCTGTAGATTGTCATTTTGTTCTGATGACAGTGTCCTTTGTGATACAGAAGCTTTTCAGTTTCGTGAGGTCTCATTTATTGATTGTTGATCTTAAAGCCTGTGCTGTTGGTATTCTGTTCAGGAAGTTTTTGCCTGTACCAGTGAGGTCAAGGCTCTTCATCACCTTTTCTTCTAACAGATTTAGTATGTTTAGTTTTATGTTGAGATCTTTCATCCACTTGGACGTTACATTTGTGCAGTGTGATAAATAGAAGTCTATTTGCATTTTCTATATGTAGACATCCAGTTAGACCAGGACTATTTGTTGATATGAGTGGCCACAAAAATTTACCAGAGAACTCATTCAGCTGATAAACACCTTCAGCAAAGTGGCTGTATACAAATACAAAATTAACTCCAAAAATTCTGAAGCTCTCCTGTATAAAAAAGGCAAATGGGCTGAGAAAGAATGGAAACAACACCCTACATAATAACCACAAATAACAAAAAGTACCTTGGTGTGACTCTAACCAAGGATGTGAAAGACTTGTATGAAAAAAAACTTCAAACTCCCTTATCAGTGGACTTATGAAAGGGTATGTGTGAAGAAGGTGGAGGAAGGGTGAGACCGGGAGGGGAGGAGGGAGGGGTTATAGGAGGATAAAAAGTAAATAAAGTGTAATTAATAAGCACTTAAAGAAATGCTC